GGGCGAGCTTCTTGAGTTTATAAGGGTTTGGAATAAGTTTTTCCCGAGTTACACTTTGGTCCCACAAGTTCTGGGCAACTGCACAGTTCACCGCAGCCGCGGCGCGACCGCGGCGAGAGCCAAACATTCTGCCTCGCGTCTGTGGCCTGCCGTGGTCCCACCGCGGTCGTGGTGGATTCAACCCCAGTCAACTTTTTTCTTTTTTGCGCTTGGGTGCTTCTTGATTGGACGTTTTCTTCACATTATTGACTCCAAAATACTCCATAGTTCTTTCTAACTTGGATTAGTCCCTGCAAAGTAAAAGAACACCAATTAGAGCATTTTGTTATCATTTAGCCTATAAAACAACAACAAAGCATGGTATAATTAGGGTGTAAAGATCGTCTATGTAGCCTATTATCAATGGCCAAACAAACTTTTCTCATCAACTTCTTATTCTTATCACTAAGGACCTTCTCATGAATATTTTTTACCCAAATGATCATAAAAATCTATCAACCTTTGAACCTGAATTATAGCTTTTCCAACAGCTTCACTAATTTTCCATATACTTTCTTTTCCAACCTCCATAAAGGAAAAAAATGTTTCACCGGTAAAATGCTTGCGAAAAACAATTGCGAATTCTTGCTCATGAAAGATCACTCTACTGTAAAAATCTTTCATAGCATATTTTACTCCAATTTGGGCATAATCATAATGAGATCTATCATGTGTGCCCTGTGAATATCTCGAAATCCACAAAAATATGGTAAAAACAGTAGAGTAGTTAATACTCTAACTCTACAGGAATCATCACTCCCTTCACTTCCTTAACCACTGCACCTGTCAAATATTGAAGTATGAACAACAGTATAAATCTTCTAACAACATTCACTGTTCCAGTAATTGTGCTACCAAAAGGATAAAACCCCAATGTAGTTTCATTTCTCCTCTCAACAAGACCATAAGTAGAGGAGGTAGCCACACCCGTGTCATTATTTGCCACGAAGATCTTCTCTGATGCCTTCCACGTTCCATTTACCGATACCAAATGAAACCAAAGAACCACAATCAAAATAAACAACCAACCCACTCTGTGTCTGACATAGTGCAGTAAACATAAGAGCCTAACTAACTAAATGACAAACACAACCATTACTATTTCATTGCTCCTATTTGGATGACCCACAATATCTATTTTATAGTAGTTCCTTGGCACTGATAGCATAGTATCTGGATTGCACCACCATGTCTCGAGTTTGTACCATAACCTTGAATAAAGTGATTCCCTTCACNNTGTTGTCTCTGATATGGCACCACTTGGCCTTAGGGCTGCATACCTCCAGGTTGTGGCATGTTTGGTCTATACTGCTGATTTGGTGCCGGTCTCCACTGTTGTCCTCCTTGTCTCTGACCCCCAAAGTTATTGACATAATTCATATCCTCTCTTAACCCTTGGTTGTCACCTTCTCCACTCCATGAACACACATAAGACTGATTAATGCAGGTGTACACAGTCCCCCATTTGTGTGTCAACATATGCACTTGCTTTGTACCCATCTCATCAAACTTCTTTGTCAATATACTCATCTGAGTCATGAGTGTGGCTATGTTCTCTGCATGCGAATTGTTTGGGTCAAGAGGAACTGAATGCACTATTGGTGCCAGTGTTGTACCTCTCGTCATCCACCCTGAATTCTGGGACATCTTGTCAAGAAGGATTTTGCACTCGGTGAATGTCTTACTCAAAAATGCACCTCCAGCTGAAGCATCTACATTGGCCTTTATATTGTCAGCTAACCCCATGTAGAATCTCTGGCCAAGCATCTGGTCTGGAATATCATGGTGGGGACACTTCACTAGCATCCCCTTGAATCTTTCCCAAGTTTCCTGCAAGGTGTTAGTAGGTTGTTGCTTGTACTGCAATATCTCATCAATCTGTCTTGCAGTCTTGTTGGGCAGGTAAAACTTATTCAGGAACTGCTTAACTAATTCCTCCCAGGTGACAATGGAATTTATTAGGAGCGAATTCAACCAAGTCTGAGCTTCCCCAGTCACAGAGAACAGGAACAGTAACAGCTTGATAGTTTCTGGGGTGACATTAGGCTGCCTTTGAGTCACACAAATCGACAGAAAAATTTTCAAGTGTTGTTGAGGGTCTTTAATGTGTGACCCTGAGAACAAACCCTTATTCTGCAGAAGATGCAACATGTTGTTGGTGATCTGGAATGTCTCCGCTTGTATTGGGGGCACAGCAATGGCAGTGGCCAGGTTGTCAGCCGTTGGTTGTGCCCAATCATAAAGTGCAGCTTCTGGCACAAGAGGTGCCACCATTCCGACGTTTGGGTCAGCTGGCTCTTCCCTGATGTTTCCGTTGACGTTATCTACGTCTCCCATGTCAATTTCAAGTTGGTGTGTTTGTTGTGATTGTTTGTTCTTCTTGTTGGCACGGTTCAATACCCTGAATGTTTTCTCGGGGTCTGAGAGTCCTTCAAGCAGTTTTCCAGTCCTCGAAGAATTCCTAGGCATACACCTGAATCCCACAAGAGTTCAAACGTGAGAATTTCAATGGAAATTTTTTTTAACACCTTAGAAATTTGATCTAAACTAATAATTCCAGCATTACTTCTAAGTTACAATAAATAACACCGTTAACTCCCCGGCAACGGCGCCAAAATTTGATCACGCCCAACTATGTCTTCTAAAAGACAAAGCGGTTGTTGCAAATATAATTCGGTTTTAAGTCCGGAGTCGAATCCTCAGGGAACTAACCTATCTATTACAACTCTTGGCAATGCTATTATTAAACAATTTCCAGATGCAAGATTTTTATCAATAAAGGTTGGGTTTTTGTTTAACTACTTCAAATGATATTAAAAATAACAATATGCCAAACCAAAGATGATTCAATGGTAAAAAAAAAAGTCTAGGGTATTGATTTCCCCAATTGCTAGTTTAAGTCTTAACTCTTTTGCTATAATCTCGCCATAATACTCTATGAGGATTATGAGCTATGGGTTATCGTAATTATCTCTCGATCAACTACGATAATTTACTAGAGCATTCTCTCGAACTACTCTACCTGACAATTTGTGCAGCTCTGAATTATCCCACCAAAGTTTCGTTATCTCTAACCCCACGAGAAGTTTTATTGTGTGTCTCACACAACTTACATTAGTTGTGTGATGCTCCTTTTTATCTCATAAAGTTGTGGACCCCAATTATACACTCTTGGGTCCACAAAAATCTGGGTCCACAAAACTGTGAGACAAAAAGATGCCTCATACAACTAATGTCAGTTGAATGAGACACAAAATAAAATTTTCCTAACCACACTTTTAAGTTCAAGTAATGAATCTCTTCAATTACCCAAAAGTAGTGTTGTTCAACAGCAGTCTAACCTAGTATTCTTTCTCAAGCAACACAAGGCAATTAGACACGATTAATCAAGGGCCCAATCAATTAATCACCATACAAAACGTAGTTGAGCAATCATATAATAAATCCGGCTCGATTATAACAAAATTGAGTCAAAACTTCATCCAACAATTGGTTCCATCAACCCTAGATCAAATGTTTAGCTACTCATAACAAAGCAAGATAAAACTACAAAATTATTCATAATGTGAAATTGCAATAAATAAAAGGAGATAGAAAAACTCTAAGTTTGGTTGATCTTCTCACACTTGTTCTTGCCTCCAAGGTATCCTAAAAAACAAGCTTGACACTTTCTTGGGCGAGCTTTTTGAGTTTATAAGGGTTTGGAATAAGTTTTCCCGAGTTACACTTTGGTCCCACAAGTTCTGGGAACTGCATAGTTCACCGCGGCCGCGGCGCGATCGCGGTGAGAGCCAAACATTCTGCCCCGCGTTTGTGGCCTGCCACGGTCCCACTGCGGTCCACCGCGGTAGCGGTGGATTCAAACCTAGTCCACTTTTTGCTTCTTTCCGCTCGGATGCTTCTTGATTGGACGTTTTCTTCACATTATTGACTCCAAAACACTCCATAGTTCCTCCTAACTTGGATTAGTCCCTGCGAAGCAAAAGAACACCAATTAGAGCATTTTGTTATCATTTAGCCGATAAAAAAATAATAAAGCATGGTATAATTAGGCTGTAAATATCATCTATGTTGCCTATTATCATCCACCCTCCCCAAACCCAACTCGTGGGATTTAAGTGAGTTTGTTGTTGTTGTTGAAGAGTCACACATTATAAAAAATAAATAATTTTCTGAAAGAAAAAAATGATGCAAGGAGCAGACGTCACTTCCTGTTTAGTCGGATGCAGAAAATCTTCTCAAGTATTGGAAAGGTAACCTAAATACATAAATAGACCAGAGTATCCAAAAAAGTGAAAATAAAGGTGCATATGAAACATAGTTGAAGAAGAAAATCATGAAGAAGGAAAAAAGAACAAAAAAAATGGATGAAAGTTTCAGTTGAAAAGGAAAACACTTGAACAAGATTACAATAATACAAAGTTCCAAAAAAGATGCAAAAACATTTATTACAAGTGGATTGTGTTAACATTTGGCAAGTAAAAACTTCTATGGATATGCATCAAATATAGTGAATTTAGTACATTAATAAAATTAAATCGCGACAAACTATTAACGGTCGAATATGTACACTTACAAAATCAAACAAGATTCTAGTTAACCGTTAACATTAAATGAAAGTTTCTTATGGAAGTTATTCGTAATGGCGCGAACATCCTCCTTTCAAAAACGCTAGACTAGTATAGCGACCATCTTTCATAATCTTCAAAGAAAAACCATTACAAGGGTGCAATTGAAAATATATTTATCATTTGATCTGTTCTTTTAAGTATAAAGTACTAAATTGAATAGTAGAATACATACGTACAGCTATTTATCTAATAAAATATAAACGAGAATTTAGAGTAATCAATTATATTAGATGATATTTTAAAATCTTGTTAAAAGTTGATTACAGTCTCACCGGAAAAGCTACTTTAAATTACATACTTGCCCTTGGGAATAAATAGAAGGACAATAAGGATGGTAGTATCAGTTATTCTAACAGTTCCTTTGGTCGAAGCCTTGTGTGCCACTTCCTGCATCTCCGCCAGTGCCGCCCTGGGTTATCCCGGCGTTCAACCAAAGGTCATTTTTGAATTGTTTCTAACTTTTTTATTTTCCTTCAGTTTTCCCTTTCCCTCTTATCATTGAATCTTTTCCCCAAATTTCAATGTTTTTTTCATTGCAGGTAGTTAGATTCAAAGCATTTATCATTTATTGTTGAATGTTCTGGTTATGGAATGGTTCTAAATATTATTTACTTTTCATATGTCTATTTGATATTGTATTGGTGAATCCTAATTTGTGGATAACCCTCATGTTCAATTTTGAATTAGTCAAAAGGGTTTGTTTTAATTTGTTGTTTGTAGATGATTACCATGGATGATGTTTGATTGAACTCATTCACGTGATTTCTGATGATCTTATTTGGTTAACTGCTGGAGAACTGGCTCTTTGTTTTTGATTTCGGATAGAAATCTGTCTAACTGCGAGCAGTTTCCTTTGGTGGGCAATCTATAATCCTAAGGACTACAATTGAGGCCTGTGGCATGTCATTGTAACCTAAACGTTTTTGGACTCGCTATACATTATTAGGCTGGGTCAGGGGCGGAGTTAGAGTATGGGAAGTGGGTTCGCAGAACCCAATAGTTTTGGTTCAAATCTTGTATTTGTCTTGAGAAATTCATCTTATATGCACAAATTATTAAATTTAGAACTCAGTAACTCAAAATGACTAAAATCCTGAACCCATAGGCTTCAAATTCTGGTTCCGCCTCTAGTTTGGGGGATTTGTTGGGAAGAAAAAATGGTGCATTATTTCATTGTATTGAAGGGAAAGGGTTAAAGTCTCTATCACAAACATCATTTGCCTTTATGCATCCACGTCGAATGGATACACTTGTGCAGATCCTTACCTGCACCTGATACATGCCCACATGCCCATACCAGACCTAATGGGACATAGCTTTTTCCACATATTCTCACTAGATTTTATGTTCCATTAGGAAAATGATGACATGAAAACTTTTGATAGCATAGCCCTCAGGCTTTGTTCTCGTGGTAAGAGCCCAAACGTGATATGTAATTAGGTGCATGTCATGGGTTCGAACCTGCCGTAGACAAAGCATAGTATTTAAGTGGAGAAAGGTAGAGAGGGAGACCCAACATCCACCGTATTTTGAACCGTGCACCACTGGCACTCAAGGATTTCTTGGTTATGCAAGAAAAACTTTTGATAGCATAATTATATTGTCATGAAACAGATTATTGAATGGTATTAGCGACGCAACATCTTTCTTATTATAAGACTAAACCATATTCTGAAAACATGGGACCTAGTTTCTCATTAGCAATGCCTTTACTTAACTTGAAGGCATGTAGTCTCAAGTCTCAATGGATCCTGCCACTGAACCAAACTGCTATTGAAGGAGCACTATATGTTCTTTTTTGTTTAGGTAAATAGTATTATTAACAAAATGGGAAAGGCTCCCGTATACGAGAGGTATACCAAAAAGTAGAGAATTTACAACAAAATATGATTTTCTACGAAAGACACTCAATCATCTATACAAGTAGGAATATCAAGGGTGCACCAAAAAGCAATCAAAGACAAAAGACTATTCCCCAAGTGCACAATATCATTTTCAATCCCCTCAAAAGCTCTTCTATTTCTCTCTCCATACGACCCACATAAGAGCTAATGGAGCAACCTTCCATGCCTTTTGTTTTCTTCTCATATGTAGGAGCACTAAATGTATGACCATGAACTTTTACGCAATGGAAACAACGATGAAATTAGTATAGACGACTATACCAAATGAAAGCAAAAATTTAAGGAGAAATTATTGGCTAATGACATCAAAAAGTGTTTGCTAAAAAGTGTAACATATACTAATTGATTCTAGAAGTTATCAGAAAGGCTTCCTTCTCCAAATTGAGGGACACATGGCTTTTTTTCTGTTTCCGTTGTTCACACATGGCTTTTAAGAGTTTGAATTTGGGATATGTATAGTTAGAAATTCCTTCTGATGCATGGTCTATTACCTGTGTTCGGGTCCAGATTTCGTAGATGATTTTCAGAAATCCTACTTATCTTTCCTTTTTAAGCTTGCAGTCTTCCTATATCCTTCTGTTTGAGCACTAGCATTCAACTTTATATTGATTGATTTCTTTATCTCATTGCAAGTTTCTTCTTGATGTTCAGGGAGTACAGCTGTGATAAAAAAAACCTGATACTAAATTGGATTGGATGTATAGGAGCACATCATTTTGGTAGATGTACTCATAAACAAGAGAAAGATTACTTCCTTCATATTTGTGCGTGGCTCAATTGCTATGCTGATACAAAATTATCTTCCTAGTTGCATAGAAGCTTCTTGTGCGACCTCTTTCTCATCTGAGATCACAAAGCAAGACTCATGTAACTGGGTATCTGGCGCCGAATCGTTGAAAATGAGTCCTGAAATTGATGAACGCCCTCTTGATGGCTGTAGAAAAATTAATTCAAAGGATGGTGATCCTTGTTCCTTAAACAGTGTAGATGGTTTACGACCTTCAACTTTCAGTGCAATGTCTGGAAGTTCTAAGCCCATTGTATATCGTAGGAAAAAGTTCCGAAGAAACCCTCTCACTACTTTCTCCATTGAAACATCAGCTGAAGTTAGGCCTAGCAATGGATGTCCTTCTGAGCTTTGTTCTGAGGTCCATCTAGGAACTTTTAAGGAAGACTTAGTTGCTGGAGTTGCAGTTGAAAAGGTAGCTACTGCAGCTCCTTTTCTGATTCCTGCTGAGTGTAATAGAGGGAACCTTCTTTCTAAATCAAATTCTTGTGATGGTAGACCTGAAGTAGAAGAGCAGTGCTCTGAAGCAGCGTCAAGAAGTGACATACAAAGGACTTCAGATTTTTGCGTAAATGATAGCCATTCGTCGTTGGACTTTGATTCTTCTTCATTGAAGACTGATGTGGGTGATGCCAGTGAATGCTCCTCATCTGGTGCTTTAGTTCCTGAAGGATTGGATGATAATATGCCAGAAAAGGATATATGCATAACAATTCTTAGAGGTTATGGGTTGCTTGAGAAAGTTCCGTTTACTGAGCTCCGCATGTCCGCTAAAGCCTCTGGTACCAGTACTAACAACTGCTCTTTAATCTCATGCAAAGCCTGTGATTGTTCAGATACTACATTGAAGATGCTAATCTGTGATAATTGTGCTGATGCATATCATTTATCTTGCTGCAATCCCCGTATACGGAAAATACCTCGGGATGAGTGGTTTTGCAAATATTGTTTGATTAAGAAGCGAAAATTACTGGAGAAATCAACTTGTAAATCCCTAAGTGGGCCCGTCGAAACTGAAAGTTCTAGCAACTTATTGTCTGAAGGTGAATCAGGACCTATATCTCTCATGTTGAAGGACACCAGCATATATAGAACCTGCGTCCGTATTGGCAATAATTTTCAAGCTGAGGTTCCTGACTGGACAGGCCCAGTGATAGAGTATGTTCTATATTTTTTCATTTTTTGGATCTTCCGGTTTACTTAGGGAAGTGAAAATGATGATATAGCATTAAATGGTTTTATCACATAGGCTGGTAAACCTCAATGATTGCTCATCCTGTCCCTACCTTTTGTAACCGTTTGTACTTGTCATTTTCAGTTGTTATGTTTTATGGAGTTAATAATTTTATTGATATGGTGGGGGATCCCAACATACAAGGTGTTACAATGTAGAGAATTTACACAAAAAAAATGATTCTCTACTAAAAGAACTCACTCGCCAATTCTAACTGGCAAATTGTATTACACACACACAGAAAAAAAAAAGAAATCATTAATCTGTGTGAGGGAATTTGCTAATCCTTCAAAAGTCTTCTGTTTCTCTCTTTCCATGTTGCCACATGACCGCTGAAATAGCTATTTCTCATGTTCTTCTCTCTCTTCTTTGATGGTTCTACATCACAATTTGATAACAGACATATTCCCACCATACGCCATCGCCTATATGCAGTGGTGCAATTCCACAATCAAGCAGTAAGTAGTTAACATCCTCTTTCGCTTGTTTCACATTAAGCACCAACTGGCATCAATCAGACCTTCTTCTCAAATTCTCCACTGTAAAGATGGCTGCCGAAGCTGCTTTCCATGTGAAAAAGCAAACTTCCTTTGGTGCTGTCTGGATCCATAATTTAATGTTGTTTTCATCTCTGCTACTTCATTAATGGTGGACGACTCCTGGTGTGCTCATTGGACCTACCTAATGAAACTCTCTGTGCAAAGAAAGAAACATGTGGAGTTACATTTTTTAAAAAGAGGAACTTTAGAATGTCTAGAAAATGTTAAAAGCATATGGTGGCATGTTTTGTATCTACAACTCAAAATGCTAGTTGTTCTTTTTTTCTCTTATCTCATTATCTATGATTCTATACCTGCTAGTGCTAGCACATCTTTCCTTTTTCTGAAACTTAAGTAAGATTGCTTGAATGCTTGGTTGGATATTAATCCTCAGGTTTTCAGTTCAAAATGGATAAGCATTAGTGGTGGTAACTATGGCATATGCATGTTTAGGTTTCTCTTTATACTGAGGAAGCCTTATAATGCTCACAGGTTTCATGCTCCATATGTCCTGATAATTATGCACTCTACTATCTGAAAATCTCGCATATTGTGGAATGCTGTTAATGTTGACTGTTTTTATAATTGGTTCCTCTATTTTGTACTTTTCCTATATTTTGAGCATGGTTTGATAATGAGATCTGATGCAGTGAGGTTGATCGGTTTGAACCATTAGAAATCAGGCCTTCCAAGTATCTCAGCTTCGATGTAAGTTCTACTCCTGAAATCTATTTTTCTCATACGATTAGCTACTCAGTTCTAGGATAATTACTTACAGAAATTGTATTGTTCAGGAATACTCTTCTAACAAGCCGTCGAGGTTTAGTTCTATTGGCAATTGGCTTCAGTGCCGGCAGGTCATTGAAGGTATTGGTGAATATGCGGATGGAAGTATCTGTGGGAAGTGGCGTAGGTAATCAGCTGACTCATTGCACTTTTTACTAGTGAATGTTTCTTTGCTCCAGCTTTAGGTTTTTCAAGTGGATGTTGTTAATTTTGGATTGTTTCATTGAAATTGTTTTAGCTCTCGAAAATGGACCCCAGTTACATGTTTTGAGCAGATTAAGTTGCATTTGTTCCCTTTATTTTTTCTTCTATTAACGGGAAGGAACACTAGTGAGGAAAATGGACTAGTGAAGATGGAATTTGGTGCCTCAAACAATTCAGATATCTAGGCTCGTTGTTCCACGATAATTGAATGATAGATGAAGATGTTACACATAGATTAAAAATTGGATGGTTGAAATAGAAAGTGTCACCGGGGTATCATTGTTGGGAAGCGTGTCAGGCTAATAGAAGGGAAAAATAATTAGAAGAGAATAACAATAAATTGCACAAGACAAGACAAGACAATACAAGATTTAAGTGGTTTGGCAGTTTTTGCCTACTCCACGGCCACACAAAGAATAGCTTTATTGATACTGAGAGAGAAAGAAGAATGTGAGGGATGATTTACAAATGAAGAGCAAAGGCCCTTTTATAGGCAGAGGGTCGGCTGAAAAAAGTTTCAGCAAATGTAAAAACGCGGCATTACGTCACCGTAATTTGTGAGCCGATTCTTTCTTTCACATTTTTGCAGCCCACCAATTTTGACTTTTCTTTCTTCTCTCGTTTCTTTCTTTTCATTCTTACTTTTTCTCTTTGTCTTTTTTCACTTATTGTATTCTTTCTTTTCTTTCTTTTACAATGAATAATATTTGTTCCCATCAATCATGTGATAGGAGGATGTCTACGGAAGTAAAAGGTAAGTTCTATAGAACAATTATAAGACCGTCAATGTTATATAGGAGTGAATGTTGGGCTGCTGAAGTCCAACACATCTACAAGAAGAGTGTCACAGTAATGTGTATGCTAAGACAAATGTGAGGTCACACAAGATTAGACTAGATAAAAAATCACTACATTCGCCAGAAGGTGCGTGTAGCGTGGATCTCTAGATGCTCCAATTTGCAGGTGTTATCATGATGAGTTAAGGTGTTAAAAAAGGAATAAGATAGACCTAAAATCATAAGGAAGGAGGTTTGCTTGAAAGACCTACGATCTCTTGGAATCAATGCAGAGTTCGTGAAAGATAGGACACAATGGAACAAAATATTTATATAGGGAAGGCAATGCCAATTCGTAGGAATATTTTTTGTCATGTTAATATGTTTACTTTAAGTCCTATGCTTTCCAAGAGTCTTTTAGCCCTATTAGAGATTCTTATGTCAGTATAAAATATAGAGATGTTATATAGGACATCTAGTTTTTGTTTTGTATAATGTTAGCTTGAGATAAATTTAAATGAGGAACATGGTCATCGAGGATTCACATTGCAGACCCCAACTTATGTGTGACTGAGGCGTAGTTATTGTTGCCAAATACTGAAGTTTCTTCCATATTAAAATAGTACTAGAAATTGGTTCTTGCTCATCTAAGTTCCCTTGTTGATGGAGTAGTTTCCCATGCACCTTGTTGGGCTCGTCTGACCACAGCAAGATTAGTCTTACCATACCGCTATTCAAATGGAAGAAAGTTCCAAAGCATATTCATTCATCAATGAAGCTATCCTATTCCTTCAGAGCCCTTTTCCTTCTGTTCGTCTACAGTCAAAAGATCAAAATGGATAGACTTGCCACCTCCTCAGTTTTCCCCGAAGCATAAGGATGCTAGGAAATGTTTCTTCTCATCTTTCTTCAGAATTATTCTATCTTTTTCTGGAAATGCTATCTTTTTGACTCTGCATTTGGTGTATATCCTCCATTAGGTCAGGTTGTTCTTGTTGCTATAGGAGGTAATGGCATTTTCTCTTTAAGAGACGCATGATACTTTAAACCAAAATTTACTCCACACTCTACCAAACCCATTCTATTGGATTCTCACATTCCAGTTTGCAGCTTCCCTCCCAATTTGAAGCAAAAGGGAATTATTAGAACTCCAAGCACTAACAACCAAAATCCCTATCCTACTTTACTTATCCCACAGAAGCCTATTTCATCTTTCGAGTTGCTTGAGCAAGTTAACCACCCACTTCAATTCTTCATTCATCAAGAAAAATTTCCCATAAGTCATGACGCCTCCGATCAACAAAAATCCTCCCATGCAACTTGATACCCCTATTGAATCTCAAAGTTTTCCTCTCGACCCGCATTGTAAGACACATGAGATTAAGCTGTATCAGTAGCTTGATAAGAAAAGTGCTGAGATCAGTGATAAGTGAAAGTGGTTGTAGAAAGGGAAGTTCCCTTATGAAAGCACCCAATAGTGTGAACCAGGGTTCAAAACTCAATTGAGACAAAAATACTAGGTAATTTCTTTCCCTCTGCGTAGGCTTGGTCGGCATAGTTGCTTGGTACATGTGTTTATGGGAGATAGCAGGTACATGGTGTAATAGTCTAGGTGCACGCAAGCTGGTCTAGTCGGTACCATATTAATAAAAAAAATAGGGAAGTTGCCATATTAAGGCATCCTGGATAACTTCTATCTCTTTAATTTCCATTCACACTTCACTGGGATCATGTTATTTGTCTTTTCTTTTGTTGGAAATATTCATGATATTTTGTTTTCGTGTTAATTTTCATCCATTAGGATGCCTAATCTGCAACTTGGTGTTATCATGTCAGGGCCCCACTATTTGAAGTTCAAACAGATGACTGGGAGTGCTTCCGTACTGTCCTTTGGGATCCACCTCATGCAGATTGTGCTGTACCTCAAGTATGTGAGTTTTTCGGTCCAAATATTGTGTTCTACATCCTGTCTTCGAGTAAACTCGTTTACTTGCTTAATTCCTTCTAGATTGCAGTCCCACTCTCCTTTCTTGCTTTGGTTAGAGATGGTTCTTTTTCATTTTATTTTCCTTAGTTGGAGAACTATTTTCTTGTTAGGATTAAGACGTTTGATTCCAAAGTCGTCTAGTTGTTTCACAGGTTTTATAGGTGCTTATAGCTTCAGTGTTCTTCGTCAACTATGATCTGTGGGGAGATACTTGTGTTTTACTGTAGTAGCAAGTGTAAACAATATTGGGCTAGTATATTTGCAATGTTTGATCATCTTGCAAAACTTCTTGCTTCCCTAAAAATGGAGGATTATGCTGAATCAGATAATACCTAACTAATTTTGGCTTGGATTCTTATATCTTCGGAATGGCAAACCCATTGATAATCTAAATGATTTCCCAGAAGTAGAGCATATGTAAGTGCCAGAACATTGAAATAGTTACTTGCTGCTCTCGTTTACTGCTCTTTGGTTTGTTCTTTTGCCATATTCCCATTTCACTGAGATCCATCCTTATTAATATTGCTTAAATTGCTTTTTAATTGCTGTTCATTGTCTCACTCTCAGGAACTCGAAACGGAGGAAGTTCTAAAGCAATTGAAGTATATAGAGACGGTATATATTGAAACCTTGTTATCGCATTCTTTTCCTGTTTCGGCAAAGAAATCAACTCACTTATGTACTTTCTTTTGAAAGAGGTGTAGGTTATAAATAATGATGCCAAGATCAGATCCAATCAGCCACAATTATATTTACTACAAGAAAATTTTGTTGTGCCTCAATTCTTCCAAAACCAAAAGATTTCAACTGCAGTTGTATTTCTCAAATATTTTTGTTAGATTAGCTGTTTAGTATATGTGCTAATGCAAATTCATGGAACTTTTCTGTTGTGTGTACTCGATGTGGTTTCTGCAAGCTATCGTTTTCTGAATTCTGCTGTCTCTGCCTCTTGTATACTGAGGTTTTCCATTTGTTATTTAAATTGTTTTTTAGTTGAAGAAAATTTTTCTAAGTTTTTATTTTTGGTGATTGTATTATATGCTATCCATCTTTTCCTTTTTATTTTCTAGTGGAGTAAGGTCTCATGGTCCAACGACTGCCTCCCTGTGCACAACTGTAACACAGCAGGATTCTGGCCCCTTTTCGCTTTTAAACAGCTCAAATTTTGAGAAACTAGGATTTACATTTTCCAGAATATGGTTTCCCGAGACAAGGAAAAATAGCTGGATTTTGGTAATGAGTTGTTTTATGCTTATCAACTGTTAATTGCATGCCCAAAGATAGGAGATCTGCGCACCCTCATTAAGAAAGTTTTGTATCTACAAAGTTGTTTTAATTATTTTTATTTACTAAGTTTATTCATTTGTGAACGGAATATCTGGATTATCAGAAAAAGGGGGAGTCAAATTTTAAAGTAGTCATAGTGGATCCTTGTTCTACAAGTGATCTGTGCCATTTTTTCCCTGATAAATTTTGTTCAGTGTGCATTGCAATACTCTCTAGACTGACTTGTTAAGATATATAATATTGAACCTAGTGTTGTTCTTCTGTTTAGTTGAAACCCCGGCTGGCGATTAAGAGGCGCAAATTGGTTCAAACCTCGGGTGCTAGCTCACGGTGCTTCACAGAGAATTGAGAAGAGATAGGCTTCATGTACGGAAATGTTCATCTTGTACATTTAAGTATACAAATTTGGGACATTTGAATTTGTACTACATGAGATTCTCATCACAGCACACTGATGTAATTGCTTCAGAAACATTTGTGCAATTTAGAAGGTGCATTGAATCAATCAGCTGCAACTCTATTTGAGTTTTCCTGGCCACACTTCGTCTCTTAGTACATTTATATGTTGTCTTTATGGGGCATTTACTTTTTGCATTGTGAGGGCTGACATATTAACATTTCAGGTGTGATGAAGTCACAAATTAACTCTATATGTTTTCTTCATCCTTATGTCACATTCCTGTAATGCCTTGATGAATTCGTGAGGCCCTGATTTGTGATTGCAGGGTAGAGAGCAGGTGCGGGGAAGGCAAAGTGAGAGCAAGATAAAGGGGAAGGGGAATTTTTACTTGTGATGACTCTGTGTTGGTGCTATTTAGTTTCTATTTTTTCGTCTGGTATAGGCAGTTTTATGAACAGGAACCTACTCTAGGTTTTTTTGTTGAATAGCAGAATTTATTTGCAGCTTCCAGCGGAGCAACCTTCTTCTCTCTCGAGTTTGTGGCAGCTATCCCCTGAACATTGGTATCTTGAGTCACTCTTCCAGGTTAGGAACTTATGGTTGTGCACTGCAGTGCGGAAAAAACATCGAGGGGCTTCTTTCAGAATTCATGAATCTGTCTTGTGGTTCATTACTATTTGGTACAGTATAATTTGAAGGCCAATTATAACCCGCGGAACAAATTATTTGTGTATCATTAGAGCCAGCAAAACACAAAGGCAAGAAAGAGGGATGAATATAGATGCATTCACATCCGGTATTTCATTTGTAATTTGTAATGATTAGTAGTAAATATATACAAAGGTCAGCACCTGTATCATCGTTACTCGTTAGTGAGTAGCTGTGTTGTTTCCCTTCATATGAAATATTTGATTTGAGATTTGATTAAGCTAGCGTTTGGCCATAGATCCCAAATTTATTTTGAAAAATCTGATTTGGGTGAAGTTTGATTTGAAGATAAAAATGTGTTTGGATATACGTTTTCAAAACACATTTTCCAACTTTATTTTGGAAAAATATGTATATAATTCCCAAGTTTTGGGATTTTGGCGCTGATTTTGGGATTTGAAATTTGGAATTTGGGATTTGGCCAAAATATGGGTAAAATTTATGGCCAAACATGAGTTTTGAAAATAAATCCCAAATTTAATTTGGCAAAATTCATGGCCAAACGGGGCCTAAGTAACGTTAAGAAGTAGCCCTTTCCCATGTGGGGCATATTCTTTCAACATGAGCCAATTATGTCCGAAGTACTTGTAATTTTCTTGGGGTGGTTATAAACAAAAAAGGTATCGATAATTTATGTTTTCAAGACTTATACTGTCGGAGTACTTAATTTTTGCACCTATGATTTTCTCATTTCTTTTTTACTTTTCTTTTGCCTCGATATTTAATATTCAGGTATATTTTTTATGATAGAATAAAATGAAATGATAGAAGAAAATCACAAAAAAAAAAAAAAAAAACAAGAATGGTGAATGAGAGTGGAAGATGAGAGCTGGTATTGAGCATTCTTCGCTCACTTGTGGGGCAAATGAAAGGGAATTTCTTCTAAAGGACTGTCCTTTGAGAGGGCAGTCAAATTTAATTGTCCCAACCCTAGTTGGAAAGAAGGAAAAAAAGAAAAGAAATTGCGCTTGGCTTTTTGCTCTAAGGTAACTATTTACTCGCATCAAGTATTTATACAAATTAAATAATTTAACTTTAAAGATTTCAAGTAAAATTACATACCACTTGATCATGTTTAAGTAAAAATTATGTATGAAAAAACTGTGTACAAAAGACGTGTCTTGCTTTCATTAGTTTAGTATAACCAACGCAAGTCAACTGGAGTATAGTCCGTCCAATTCACTTATTTGTGTAAGAGATTAAATGTACTACCCATCAAAATCCAACAGCAGCACCATAAATGACGCATTGGTGCATGAGGCGAGTTCGTTACAACAACAACTAACCCAGTTTGATCCCAACACGTGCATGAGGCGAGTTCGTTGTAGGACAAAATAATAATTGAAAACATAGAACAAATATTACATAAAATAAAACGTTGTCGAATATAACGCAGTGAGGAAAGTTGGAGATATCAATCATATCCAGTTTCATCAATTCAAGACTCAAAAAGCAGTAAAGAGATTTGGACATACAACTGTTAAGAGGAAACGTGCCATAACACAAGATATCATTTCTCCACTGAAATAGAAGTAAATTATACAATACATACCAATTCATCAACTTAGTGGCATTCTCTTGAACATAATGTACATACAATAATAAAAGAATTGTTTAGTCCTGAGCAACAAGGATTCAGCAGGAAAAAAATTGAAAATCTTAACTGAGGAAAAGAATACAGCATGAAAGTATTACCAAAGATCTTCACATTCTAAGCTCCTTCAGCTTAATGAGTCATGTCCAAGCTGATTGAGGTTATACTGAAAGTCCTTATAAACGTGTGTGACAAAAAATGGAAAGAATTCAGGCCTATAATCAAGTCTCTTCTGTTTTGGATCTCACCTTCCATTTTGATTGACTAATTGCGAAAAATCATCTATTCCAGAAGCCATGGCATCTGTAGTGCCAGTGCTCCTTGTTGCAGATTCACCCTCTTCTTCTTTAGTTTTTGAATCAACATGAGTCTCGTCTTCTGAATTTTCAGTTCCTCTCTCCTCAACTGTCTCCAGAGCACGAATATCGGAAGCAGAGTCTTCCCCTACATTCTTCCGCAGCCAAGCCTCATGGAGTTGTAACACATATTCCAGATGCCATAGGACTTCTCCCATTGTTGGTCTGCTCTTCCCCTCGTCTGCTAGACATTTCTCAGCAATTTCTCCAAATTTCATCAATGATTCTGGGGAATAATTTCCTGCAAGTTGTGGGTCAACGATGGTTTCAAGCTTTCTTTGTCGTTGAAACCGCATAGCCCACTCTGCAAGATTAATCTGATCTCTTGGTAAGCTTGGATTTATAACAGGGCGCGCACAGAGAACTTCAAACAGCACAACACCAAAGGAGTAAACATCAGATTTCTCAGTCAACTGCTGCCGCCTGAAATACTCAGGATCCAGATAACCAAAACTTCCTTTCACTGCTGTACTTACATGAGTATGCTCCAAAGAAGGGCCAGTTTTAGACAGCCCAAAATCCGCCATTTTCGCTACAAGATTCTCATCTAACAATATGTTGGTTGTCTTGACATCCCTATGGATGATTCCACGCTCTGACCCTGTATGAAGGTAATGCAGACCGCGAGCTGAACCAATGCACACCTCTAGTCTTTGCTTCCAACTTAGAGATGGCAGATCGCTGCCAAAGAGATGACTCCTGAGTGTTCCGTTGGCCATGTACTCATAGACCAAAATCATTTCATTCTGTTCATCACAGAAACCTATCATGGAAACCAAATGCCTATGCCTTAACTTAGAAAGCATTTCGATTTCTGTCTCAAATTCTTTCAGACCTTGCTGAGATTGAGGATTGGCTCGTTTGATCGCACCAAGGGTGCCATCATCGAGCTCTGCCTTGAAAACCTTACCAAATCCTCCCACTCCAATCACTAAGCTCTCGTCGAAGTTGTTTGTGGCTGCTTTAATCTCTGCTAGAGTAAACCGCCTTCCCGATCTTAGAGTCCCAAGACTTTGATATTGTATTGATCCCTTACCGTTACCATTACCAGTGCTGGTCACAGCAGCTCCGTGAAGGAATAAAGGCCTCCATCCAGCTTCGTTTTTCTTCGTATCGTCTTTGCTTCTCCGCCTTCTACATAGACGTATAATCAGCATGATTAAACCCGCAACAATGACAATGGATGCAATACCTGCTCCAATTCCTACCCAAAGGATTAAATTCTTCGAAGTTGTTTTCTCTGGAACATCCTCATATTTCTGTACATAGGCAAGATTACCATTCCGACTCAACTTGAAAACCTCCAAACCATTCAAAAGAGCATCAGTGCCTGCAGAACCAGTCGTTGTATCAGGACCAAGTTGCACCCAAAGGCTGCTGCTTTTCGACGGTATCACATCAAAGTAATCCTCATGGTACGCCTTGTTCATTCCCCCAGCTCGTGAGAAAATGTCGTAGTTGTCAGCAGCAGTTTTGTTATTTATATAGATTTTGAAGATCCTTTGATTCGGTTTATTATAGTCAAACTCACAGAAATGTAAGCGGACTAGGTAATCAAACTCCGGATCCACTTCCAATTTCCACGACATGTTCAACCGCTTCTCCATGACATCTGTGTTGCTCATAATTCTTGCTGTTTCATACACAAGAAGAGGCGCAATAGAGGTGTCGTTTGGGGAAGCATAGGTAATGTTGGAATGGTTTTTGACTTCAGCACCTGCATCTGCAATGATCATATAGCTTGAATCCGCCTCCCACATCCTCCTCAACCCTGAATCACGAGTAGATTTAATTGCTGAACCACCAACGTTCAACCTGTACATAGTCTGAATCCCTCGTTTACTCAAATTTAAAGAGCTGTTAGCACCATTCCCGCCGACTTTACTGATAGAATCAACAAATAGCTTATCAGTCACAGGGATGATCTCTACGGCATTAACAAATCCAAAAGAACCTTTGTTGGGAATAAACTCGAGCACAAAGACATTAATATCGGAAGTCACAAAATACTCCTTCACCGACGAGAGAACACTAGAGTTGCCTCCGGGACCTTGCAGGTACAAATTCTTGTGCAAAATCTCAGCAGCAACATTAAACTCCGAAACCAACTTCAAACCATTTGCAGCAACAGCAAAGAACGACCCGTTCGCATCATGATTCCCGAATGAAAAGGGATAGAAATGAAGTCTGAGGAAATAACTACCAGGTGATATTTGGAAAGTATAGTTAACACTTTCATCAAAAAATCTGGCAGTTTTATAGAGTGGCTCATAGGATGAGTCACCATTAAATGAAGCAGTTGTTGCCTCAATACCAGGTGAACTCAAAGTGACATTGTTGCCATGGGCAGAATCACCTATCCATTTACTACCATCTACATTCACACTGGAATTAGTCCCACAATTTACCAAAAAAGTCTTTGTTTGAGCTTCTCCAATTTCAACAAACACAACTAATATCAAAACAAGAAATTGCCCAAACATCTCTCTGCCTTTGACTTTCATAACTCACTATCCCAATACAGCCCCCAAGTTATATACACTTTTTCAAGCTCAGCTACAAAACTGCAACAACCAATAATTTGTTTCAAAACTAGAGAAATTTTCAAATATGAAAAAACCCTAACTTTCAATCATGTCAATCACTTTCTACCCCAAAACAAAACAATCTATATATCTTTGTGCTTAAACCTTGTAAAATCAAAAGTGAAGCATAAACATTAAAATGAAAATACCTTCATCAATCTCTCATAGGCAACTCAGAAGCTCAACATGGGAAAATAACCAAAACCCACAAGAAAATGTCTTCAAAATGAACAGCTTCAGCTCAGAAAAAACAAAACCCAAATCAGTAAGCAGATCTGAAACCAAGAAAATGGTCAAAAGCTTGAATTTGGAGACAATGGTAATTAAAAAAAAAACAATTTGTCAAGAATGGAGATGAATGAGTCTGAGGACAGATTACCTAAAAATAGTGATTATAGGGGAAAGAGCTCCTATTTTAGTTTTTTTTGTTTTCTGAGAGAAAAAAAAGGAGGAGAAGGGGAACATGGGTAGGCTGGAGTTGTTTGAAACAGACTGGAAACATTCATATATTGAACTGTCTGTCTTTTTCTTTACCACCATATCTGTATTACTTTATTACTCCATCAGTATTTGTTGTAACTGCTGTAACAGCCATTTTGGAAGTAGCCGTATTTATTTTGGGGAAAAATCACAAATAGCCTGATTTACAATTATTAATAAGAAAATAAGTCATAATTTTAAAGGTAATTGATATTTAGTCATTTTTCTATGTGAAAATAAAATTTGAACCAAAACATTATTAAAAATCCAAAAAAAAAATTCAGTTCGAAATTTTTATATACGAGATTCCAGAGTAATGCGTTAGAATTCATAATGTGCTGGAGTTCCAACATAATATGCTGGAAGTTTATACGCAGGAGTTTTATAATTCCGCATATTATGCTAGAACTTTTTATGTTTCAACTAAGATACCTTTGTCGAGATTTCATATGTGCCTTAAATAGTGACTACTTTTCAATAACTTTGTAAATACGGACAATAACCACCGATAAAAATAGCTATGCCATGCCCATTTTGACTTTATTTTGACATAATTTATTACACTTTTAGTTAATTTGCCGTATTCTTTATAATATGCAGATAAATTTTTTAGCAGTACTTTCCTTTAAACATATTGGAGCATCTATTGCTAGAATTCCCCTTTTCTTTATTCCCTTCGAAACAACTTGCATTTTAATACGTCAAGATCTGGCTGTTAGTTTAAAAGAATGTAAAAGGTTTAAATGCGTCTCCATATAAGTCCGACTTGCTTAATTTCGTCTTAGACTTTTTGTTTATTCGTACCATTATTTTTTACTTCCTATACCATATATGAAACTTTATTACCAAATATTGGCATAGTATCTAAATTACCTGCCTAGTCCACATTTTTCCTACAATTTCTGTACCATTCGTTTATTAGGTATTAAAAGGGCAGAATATTCCCTTAAAAACGCGCTAAAAATCAGGAAAGAATCTTGGGATTGATTGATTCTACATTAAATTCAATTTTTGAAACGGAAAGGAGATTTCTCATCTGCGTATTTTTCTCTTAAACTACAATTCAAAAATTAAAAAAAAAAGTACGAACAACTTCAAAAAGTACGAACAGATTCAACTACGAACAGCTTCAACAAACTGAATTCAAATTGTAGAATTCAAATCTTCGAGATTCAACAACTCAAAATTGCTATATTCTGTTCGTCGTCGTTTTCAGAAATCAAATTGGCAATCATATATCTGTTCTTCGTCTTTTTTTCTCTCAATCTAGAAATCCAAAAAAACTAACAAATTTAGAATGATATGGGGGTTCGTGTGTATATGGAGACCAAAAAGGTGAATAAAAACTTAGGTTCATATTCGTTATGTATAAGTGTACGAGATTCAATATGGAATTGGCAATCACCAACGATAACACAAGTGCAGGTTTGTATAGTTCGAAATTGCATAGAATTATGGTTTTACGGTATTATCTACAAAATTACTACATTTGCATACAATTAAACTACAAATCAGTTTAATGAAAGAATAAAGCAATGTTGTTTTCAAAATTATCTACAAAGTTACTACATTTATTCGACAAAATAAACTACAATCTATGATTAGAAATTGTTGATTTTAAAATGTCTGGCATCCTAAAATGGATGACTACAAATTTTTCACTATATCTACAAATTATCTACAATTGAAATGGGAATTGGGATATTAAAATTCAATGTATCCAGTTTGTAGATATTTTGTAGATAAATTGTAGATTATCTGTATTCCGATTGTAGATGCATTATTTTCTGTTTTTCCAAATCCAAAACGACTAAAACTTCTACAAAATCTTCTGCAAAAAACAGTCTACAATTTATCTACAATTTCTGCAATATGTCTTCTTCTTCTTCTTCTTCTTCTTCTTCTTCTTCTTCTTCTTCTTCTTCTTCTTCTTCTTCTTCTTCTTCTTCTTCGATTTTCAATCTGAATTTCAGTCAAAACCAAGTATGTCCAGAATATTTATGAAAAACAGGAAAATTAAACAAAACTCATTTTTCCTAACTCTTTTATACATTGATATTAATTGCAGGTCAAGATGACTCTGCTATAATTATGGAGAAGAGGAAATTGGAAAGAAGGCAAAAAGTTATGCTTATAGAATTCGTGAGCATGGTATGGTCTATTTACATCTAGTTCATTCTTTTCCTTTTTCCTTCTTTAAGAAAACAATAAAAATATTTTCCTATTTTGATGTTTTGCAGTGAAATTGGGGCCAAAGTTTTCAGAAACAGTGAAGGGGAAGTTGAAAATAGTGAAAGAAGGAGGGAGAAGGAATATATTCAGGAATATGTTTAATGTAAACGAAGGAGAGAAGCTGCTAAAAGATATAGAACAAAAAAAAAACGGTCCATTTTTGGTGCCTTGAATTAAGGAGGGATATATGCTGCATTAATTGTACTCTTAAAATACACTATGGTATAGAATTGGTAATTTGGTACACTAAATGTAATTATATTAAACCTTAAACATTGAGGGTAATAAGGTTTCCTATATGGTATAGGAATGGAAAAAACCCTAAATGTAATTACTTTATGGAATAGCCTAAGAGACACTTGTACTTGTCTCGGTTTGTTATCCCGGTCCCTACATTCCATAACGTTTCATCTAGACACTTCAACTTAATCAAAACAAGACATTTAAACCCTTCTGACTGTTGACCGGGCTTATGTGGCATTGATATGGCTGAAGTGGACAAAATGAGTGACTTACACGCACATTAAGTGCGTGAGCTAATGATTTCTCTTTATTAAAAAAGTAAAATAAATAAATAAATAAATAAAAAATACTAACAACTATTCTAGTATGAAAGAGTTCGTTCTGTCCCCCTCTCCTCTTCTTCTTCGCATTCCA